AACATAATCAACTTTTAATTGCACTCATGTTCAGGCCTCGAGGTAAAGCAATGGGCGAACGCTTACAGCTTCCATCTTTAATTGCACTTTTGGATAATTAAAGAAATTTACATTTTAGGCAGAAAATCTGGATAAAATATGTTCTGTTGAAAGAAATGCAGACAACCCATAGTGACTCAACACAACCTGATCTGTTGTCTATGCCTGTTTGTCCCTGCAGCATGGGACACACACACACACTGGACACACACTGGACACACACACACATTAGAAAAACCAATTAACCTAACAGTCATGTTGGAGGACCTCTCTACGGCTGAAGGAGGATAAAAGATTTTTCTCGATGTTTCAACTGTTGTTCAGTTAATTATTGGCGACAAAAGGTGGATGTAGTTTAGTTACTATATTGATTAAGAAATGTAAATTTGATTAAATGTACTATAAAACAGGGCCGGTCAACACCTTTTTGGGGCCTTAGGTAGATTTTCAATGGGGGCCCACCAAACCAACATGTCACTCCAAAGTGACAAACCTACTAGCATCAGTGTTGTTTGTAAGTAGCTAATAGCAAAAGCAGCAAACAAAAACAAAACATTTCAAAATGTAGAGTCCGCCATGTTATTTTTAATCATTTTTAATTTAATTTAAATCAATAAAGGATTTTTAAAAATACAGAATTTAAGTTTATACATTTTTGTTGTATTTGTGTAACTATAAAATAGCAGAAATCGTTTTCCATGTATAATATAAAACTTCTTCACATAACATTTAAATTGTTCATGGTAACTTGGTGTTTTTGGACCATAAGCAGCTGCTTAACTTGCAATGCCTTGGGCCGGCTCTGCTTAGAACATAGTAACAGGACATAATCATACACCAAACTTTGGAATATGTTTTCTTCTTATGACCATTCTACATTTCTCTGTGCATGAACAGTCCAGCAGCTCAGCCGTTTTCGATGTTTCCAGATGAACCAAATAAGCACCAATAAAACATGGCAACATGTCAAACCCCCTTAAATCTAATTTTTTATTCATTTTTTAATCTCACTTTGAACTCCTGCAGCGTCTATGTGATTGGTCTAGTCGCTATTTCTCTTAGCAAGTCCATAAACGGGTGCAACTCTGCAAAAACACAAAATATCACCAAGTATTTTTGCCCAGTTTCTGGTGGAAATATCTTAGTAGACTTGAAACCAACTTTTCAGCAAACGATACAAACTTGTTTTAAAAAAATAATCCCTTAATATTTTTGAAGTTTAATTGGCAGATTATTTCGCTTATGAAATAGGAAAACTGTCTTGTTTGAAGTGAAATAATCTGCCAATGGAACTGAAACTTTTCATCAATATTAAGGAATTACTAACTTAAAACAAGCCTCTGAAAACTTGGTTTGGTCTCATTTCGAGTGGACAAAGACGTTTGCAGTAGAAACAAACTTTGTATCTTTTTTTTTTTGCATCAGTGATGTTGATTCTTTATACTTTCTTAACATGAATGTAAAGATGATTAAACACTTCTCTGGAAGTGGAAACTTACAGGAAATAAAATAAGTCAAAGTTCGCCTGAAACAAACGTAAAGGAGCCGAAAGCCAATCAGACGCCGTGAGCTGGAAGCAAGTTGGAGTTAATTAAAGCCGAGGATTTTCACACTTTGTCAAAGTAACATGAAAGTCTTCACCTGCAGCTTTGTTTCACACCTGCAGCTCCTCGGCAGAAGGCGGTTATCGCCGGACGCAGAACTGCTGGAACAAAAGGAAAAACTGAAGCACAATCTGATTCACTGCGTTTAAAATAAAAGAGAGAAAACATCCCTTAATGTCAGCCAGCTTCAGAAGACAAAAAACAGAAAATAATTAACGCTACAGCTATATTTAAAAACAAATAACAGAATTTGATTAACAAAATAAGCTCACACCGCGTCATCCAGATTAAAATTACTATTCCAATTATTGTTGGTTTCCTAGGTACAAAGAAAACAGGAATAATTTTGCCTGTTTCTGCTGCAGACATCCATGAACTAAAATTTCATAATTGGTGCTTTTCTGCTTTAAAATCTGTCCAAAAGTTAATTTTTCTCTGTTATCGTTCAGATTTCTAAGCGATGCACAGAAACTGTGGGTTAAAACTTTACTTGAGTCCTGATATGAAGGAGTCTTTATGTTTATGACTGATGTCACAAAATGTCATACAGTAAATGATGAAAACGTTTGTGTGAAGCTGCACAAAAAGTCTTACTTTTAATGCAAAGTTGCATCAATTTATTCCCAATCAGATTAAAATGGTCATTTTTAAGCTAAAGTCATTATTAAAAATGATCCTGAATCAAACTAAATGTTTTTAGTAACCAAAATTATTCCTGTTTGCTGAATTGCTGAATCAACTTTATTGATGTTAAAAACATACCTGGAGTGTAGTTTGACTTGAATCTTGTAAACAGCATAACGAGGAGCACCGCTGGAACGAACAGGAGCTTCTTAAAGAGACGGAGCCCAATTTCAGGGCGGTAGATTTCATTTGTGTTTCTTATGACGACTGAGGGCAACGGTTACGTTACTGCGCTAAAAAAATGTAATGAAAGGTGGCGCTGTGTGTGTGGAAAATAAAATATGAGAGAAACGCCGTTTTTGGTGTAATAAAAACAAAACGGCAAACTGGGAAAAAACTGTTTGGATGCAACAAAAACTGATCCAACATTTCTGGACAAACATTTAAAAAATTTTTATTTTAGCCGCTTCGAAAAAGCAGCCTCCAGTTGGTGAAGTTTATGCATCACTAATCTCCATCTTTCAATTAGAAAACCGGCACCATATGGCTGCTCTTTACAGTTTTCTATGTGATATTTTCTTTCACAGGAACTTAATTAGTTTGATGCTTTATGAGCGACTTCATGGCATTTGAAAGTAATTCATCCTCCAACCAGCGGAGCATCGCACTAAATCCTCAAAACAATCTTGTTTACTTGGTTCTGCTGCCGCGTCAACAATCAGTCGGGTGCTTTTTATTTTTTATTTTTCTCATTTGGCCCTCGACTGTCGGTTTTAGAAAGAGATTATGTTTGTTTTAGATTTTATTTCTGTCATGACTAATCCTCACAGAAACAACCTTAGAGAGAGAGAAAACTACAAAAACATTGATTTGGACTAAATGTGGCCTTTATTCACTTATTGAATGGATTTCCCACAATGCTTTGCAGCATTGAGGTAATTATTAACGAGAATAATGTGTGATACAAGGGAATATGAGTCAATTTTTATATTTCTGCATGTATACAGGGATAAAAACAACAAAAAAGTGTTTTATTTGACAGATTCCTGACTAGTTTTAAATAAATTCAATGTAATTTTATTTAAAGGCCATTTCATACAATAGACATGATTAAAACTGTAAACCAGATCATTTCTAAACTATTTTTACAGAAAATAATTCTCATAACTGATTTAAACATTTAAAGGTGTTTAAATTGGCATTTTCAGATATTTTTCCACTATTTTATGCTTTTTAATCTAATTCTCTTGGTTGTTTTGTGTATGGAATATCACTCGTCTCTTGCTTCTCCTTGAAAGAAATAAACATGTTTTCATTTCTTTTAAGTCTTGATTAAATTAAAACACTTAAACTCTCCTCGTGTTAGTCAAAGATTCAGGCGGCTCTCAAACTATTGGGCCTTTTTTAGCCATTTTGACGACTCTCGTGATTATCAGGCGACTAAAATCCTAAAATGAACATGAAAGCACAAAGTCGTTGAAGTGAACATGATGAACCATGCGAAGATGAAGTGCACATCATCATCATCTCGTCCTCTTCCTCACCGTCTGAATGGCTCAAAGTGACCGAGTGCCGTCTGCAGCACAGGTAATAGTATCCCATTTGAATTTTTCTTTCTGTTCCCTTAAAAAGGTCAGCATTGTCACGAATGGAAAATGCAGTGACGGATTTCAGTAAAGGACGCTCAGCAGGTGCAGCAACAAACTACAGTTAAAAAGATTTGCAGGAACTTTTGTTTTTGGCAAAAATTCGTCTAAATGAATGCTAACTTTAGTACATTTGCATTGGTCCCATCTATAGTATTAGCATGTTTATGTTAGCTTTCACACAATACCAAAGCTAACATGACTATTGTTAGCTAATAACGAGTATTGTTAGCAACTTAGCATGCTAAACATTTATTTAGCATGTCTAAATGTGCATAGTATATTAATTATCCTACTTATATTAGGCTAAGCACAATAACTTTAGCTTTATAAATGTTAGCTTTTGCACATCGGCACTGTCCTTACCTTTAGTGTTAGCATGTCTATGTTAGCTTTACGACAATACTAGCATTAGCATGCTAGACATTTCTTTAGCATGACTAAATGTGCATAGTATAATTTGCTGGATATTAGCCTAAGCACATTAGCTTTATACTCTCCAATCTGTCCTTAGCTTTAGTATTAGCATGTTTATATTAGCTTTAGCATGATAACTATTATGTCTTATTTAATTGTAGTACTGATATACTTCTGTGCTATAGCACAAAGCATGCTAATTTTAGCTTTAGCATGGTAAACATTGGCATTTTGTTAGCATCATCAAACAAAGGTATTTATATTTAAAAACTTAATCTGAATGCATACTTTACTCTGGTAGGCATTCCTAAGAAAACATCACGTACAAGCAGAGTTTTCTCAATTAGTCAACTGTAGAACATTTACATTCACACAACATTTTGGTTGATGCTAATTCTGATTTGTTTTTGCTCAGATTTTGCGTATTTGTTCGACTGTTTGTTCATATTGCTAATTAAATACAAATACAATAAGATTTTTGTGTGAGTGGAACATGAAGGAAGCTAATAAATAGAAAGCTAAGCTAACAGCGATGGCATTTTGTAGTGAAACGTTTGTGTAGTCGGAGCTAAACGAGAGACTTCTTCTATATTTAAATTATTCTAATTCTGTCCTGTTATTAATTGAACTTACTAAATACCTGTGACACAAAATGAAGCTCACAACAACATCAAAATATAAAAACATACTTTAATTTTTAACAAACATAAAGAAACTTTGATTTAAAAGCATTAAAGTTGGATCCGATCTCCATCCTACAACGTGGCAGCCATTTTGTTTCATACTTCACTTACAAAAAATTGGTAAGTAAATTTCTACCAAATCAAAATGCTGAATTTACAGTTTTAAATTCCTTTTGAGATTTTTCTTATCCCAAACATTTAGGAAATGACAATATATTCCCTGAAAATAAAACCTGTAATATTCAATCAATTCAATATCTCTTTCTAAAAAGAAGCTACGTTATAACTTTAACATCTCTTGCAAAAAAAATACATCATTATTCTATATTTCTTTTAAATTTCTTAGATGTCATGAGAAACCTAACAGAAGAAAGCAAAAATGGACAAAAAGCATAATTAATCCTCTTTAACGCCTCTCACATCTTTACCTACTAATTACAATAAAGACTCAATTTTTAAAAATATATTTAAAACACTACAATAATCTAACATATTGATTCTTGCCCCTGCAGATGAATCAGAAACTCGTGAGGATTCATGTATAGTTAACTAGTTTTTGGCCTTGATTTATACTTTTAGTAAAAAATATATTCACATCTTAATATATCAACAATAAATCACAGGCGATAAAATAAAAAAAAGAAAACCCGGTGAGTTGATTAGAATTAGAGAGAAAACTTTTTTTAACCAGTTTTATGTAATTATTAAAACCAAAACCTGAAAACAGGTCAATTTATTCTGATTTATTTATTTTTGTGGCACGTCCAGTTCATACAGATCCCACGTTAAACACGTTAAACCTCCTGTAAAGATGCTTATAACTGCCTACTTTAACAGTTCCAACACCAAATATACCTTGATGTGCTTTAATATTGCTCAGTAGAAATTGTTTTAGCACAGCTGCTACTTCCTTTTCTCTGCTTTTGGGGTTACAATCAATGATTGGCTAATAAAACAAATGCTGCTCCCTGATTGGCTGGTTTGTAAAATGCTAACCAATAGTGTGACTCGACTGCCTTGTCGAATGTTTTTGAAATTCTCCCTGAATAATTTAAGAGTTGCTTCACTAATTATGTGAAGTTTGTCAAAATGTTTTTTATTTATTCTTTGAATTCATGTTGTTTAGTCAGTGCGTCTCATTCTTTAGATAATTATTGGTGTTTTAAGTTCGGCTCTTGGTTACCATGGGCAACTGTGGTACTCATTAGGATCAGCTGTTTCCATTACAAGTATTAATTATATTTCAACATGTATTTTAGACAAATGTAATCACAAAGTGTTTCATGAGTAATTTTGCAGTGTTTGGTTTTATGATTTTAACTGTTGTCAATAGAGTTGTTCATTTTTAAACATGCTAGCTGCTGCTAGCAGGTGACAAACTGAACGTCCTCTTCTGACGCACTTAAAAGATCCAAAACGTTTGTAAATTCATTAAAGAATAAAAATAATTGAAAATGTACAAAATGTGCTCCAATAAATGGCCTCAGTAATTATTGTTTCAGCAAAGCGTTGCACAATTCAGAGACTTTGGGCTCCATTAACAAGAAAAAGAGGCTGACTATCGGAGCAGGAGTTTAAATTAGCCAATCAGCCACTGCTGTGTTCATGAGAGGCTTAGTAATAATGGAGAAATAAATATCAAGCCTGAAACATCAGGTTTCAAGCCTGAAGTTGATGTTGATCATGTTGGAACCGGCCAACATGATCTCTGCTGGGCGGTTCCGACGAGAGAGTAAAAAGGTCCGAGTGGTTCTGAATTGATCACCTGTTTGGGTTATTTTACCTTTGCTGCGGCTCGTTAAAGCCACTGTAGTTTCTGAACGTTCAATAAATGACTAATTACCTCGTTTGTTTGATGTAAATGTCACAACAAACATCAAATAGGACAAACATATTTCATTAAGTAGCAAACAAATGGCTTCTACCAAGATAATGATATGAAAATAAATTAACTGTATAATCGTCTATTTGGTGTCTCTGGCGTTTTGCTTTGAACTCAGAGTCTGAGAGGCTTTTTCTCTTTCAAATATGATAATTATTTTTGACTATAGTGGAAATGTTGATGATGCTTCCTCCAAAATAATAACCTTTATCAGCCTTTATAGCTCCGCTGCTGAAAACGAGGTGCTAACATTCACTAATGACATTGAAATAAAATGCTGTCCAACTTCTGGTTGGAGGCGATTCCTCTGGAAAAATATCCCAACTTCACAAGATGAGCTTTTATTTTGACAGACCTCTGTGGTTCCTCCTGTTAGACCGACATTTCTCATCAAACCAGAGTTCAGATCTACAATAACCGATTAACAACCTTCTCCCAGAATCTCACCGAGGAAGAAACTGCATCAGGTTTTCTATCACTTAAATATTTCTGCTATAACTGTTGGGTATTTGCATATAAAATAAGTCAATAAAGTTTCATTTATAATTGTGTTATGAGGTAGAAAAAGTAGATCTTGGTCTCAAAAAGTTTGGTTTATTGGGAACTAAGACGAGATTTTAGCTAAAGAAAATCATTCATGGTAGCGTACTCCACATACGCAGCTACTGCCTTATGTTATTTATATTCTCCCATATTTAAGAACAATAAATTACATCTTAATGCTGTTTGTTCTCCCTGGTGAGTAAATCTACACTAGCTGGGAAAAAGTATTTTTTTGTTTCAGTGCGTGACGTTTTCTGCAAATTTAATATCGCTGGATCTCAAAGCATGAGTTTGTCTAAATCCTACAAGATGAGATTCATCAAACAAAGGGGTTTGTAATCTTTGTGCTAAGCATAATTAGGTCAAATGTGAATTTCTGTGCTATAAAAGACCAAACCTGCCAAAAAAACTCTCGTCTTTTATCCACTTTTGGAATAAAATTAAATAAAAGAGCTGGATCACAGAAGAGCTCACTTTCTCCGGCGTGAGCTTTCGTCGCCCGGTGCTCCGAGCCGTGGCGGCGGCGGCGCCGGGAGAGACGAGGCGAGTGGCGACGCCGTCAGAACAGCACGGCGTCCGGTTCTGGCTCAGCAGAGCGCCTGCTTTGATGCCCCGGCAGCGACGCAGACGAACGTTTGTGTGCTTTCTCGGAGCGCGGCATGCTGGGACGGCTGCGGCTGGCGGTGGGCTTCTGCGGGTTCGGTGCTGGGAGAACGTCTGCAGGTACAAAAGGAAAAGGTTTTTATTTTATTTTTCTTTTCAGCCTCAGCTGGTATTTGATGTATAAATTTCATCTCCTTGATGGTGAACATCCATGTGAGAGAAACAGTCGCTGCTTAAGGGCTGGTATTAAAAACAGACTCTTCCAAGAGAGACCTGACCTTTCTCTAAATTCGTTCAAGGAAATATATTTAAAAATGTTACCCAGGCAGAAGAAAGTTTAGCAGGAATTAGTTTTTTAAATGTTGGCTTCCATCACAATCCAAAACTACAAACGGTGAAAGTTAAAGGACATTTTAAATCTTCTTTTTTTATTATTATTGCTTAAAATATAACTTCTATGTTTATGTCCCATAATTTCTTTGTAATTGCATTTTTTACATTATCAATACGTCATGCAGCTTCATTTTTTTGATATTTTTGATATTTTTTGGTTTCTATTTCAAAACGTGTAAAAATTAAACATAGCAAGAGAATAGTTAAAATATCACTAAAATATTCTCAAAACTACAAAAGGTCGACATAAATCCAAATACATCACCTAAAATGTACTTTTTCACTCTTTTTATAATTTTGGCCTTATTTTTACATTACTTAAATAATTTTCTATACTCAAGTGACCAGATCAGTCAATCTAAATGTCAATATTTCATTCTGAATTTATTGTCAATATTTCTCTGAACGTGAGGCTTTAAATATGAAACTACAAAAATTAGTAAAATTAAATAACATCACGTGTAATCATTGATCATTTGATACATAATCCAAAAATACAAAATAATAAAGATTAAATTAACAATGTAAAGTACACAACTTAGGTGGCAACAGTAAAACAGAGCTACTATGTGGATAAATATCAAAATCTACTAACTAATCTATTTAGCAGCTCCTTTGTGTAATTTAATCAAGTAATTTTGCTTTAAAACATTAATTTACAATCTAGAAAATTTAAATTCTCACCATCTTCTTCTCCAGGCCGTGAGCCAATGTCGCCAGCATCCCATTCATAATTCTCATCTACCGAAAGCTGCCTCCTAAAGAGGAACAAAAGGATTAGCTGCAGATGCTAGCGTTACTTTTTGCTTCGGAATTAGTGTAAGTGAACTTTTGATAGATTTAATATGACAGCCTTAGTATTAGCTTGCTAACAATCGATTCATTGGCATTTGTATGCTAGCAATTACTTTAGCATAATAAATTGGAATTTGGCTGCTAATGTTAGCCTTAGAACAACAATACTAGCGTTAGCAAGCAAGACATTTGTTTAGCATGATTGAAGGTGCATAGTATACTAATTATCATGCTTATGTTATCTTAAGTATTATAAAATTAGAGCTGTAAATGCTAACTTTATCACAATTGTGTTTTGCTTTAGCATTAGCATCTTAATGTTAACTTTATTATGGTCACTATTATCAGAGTGACTTATTTAATTGTAGTATTTAATATAATTTCTATACATGGTCTTGCTAAAGCTGCTATATGCAGGATATTGCATGCTAATTTTACCCTTAAAATTGACATTTTGTTAGCTCTGTCAAACCAACACCAGAAGGCAAAATTTAACAAGCAAAAAAAACATACTTCTAAGCATGATGTATTAACTTTAGTACGTATTACTAGGTTTCCTACAAGTGCTTTAGCATAATAGCTTTTGCATTTGCATGCTACATTAGCATGTAAAGCCTCTATGCACGACCTGTCTGCGTTATATTCTCAACTGTTCTTTGTTCTATTCAGTCACCAGTTATTGATTTTTAGACAATAGATGAGTAATGGGCTCGCGTTGACAGTGACCATACAGCTTATCTAAAATCCCTGACATCGTCTTCAACTAAATCAAAATTCAGTAAATCTGTGTGTCCCGTCACCTTCGTTTTGGTTCTGTTTGTCCACCTTCCTTGTGCTCTGATCCCCCCTGAGTGTCCTCTGCAGTGGCAGGTGAGTCTGTGAGCATTGGGGACAGGTGAGACAAGGGCAGATGCCCGTTAGCAGTCTCCATGCTGCCGCGGCCGCTGCTAGCGTAGCTGCTGTAGCTGCCACCGGAGTCTGTCACTCCCTCGTAGCCTCCTGAGTCCACTTCCAGTGCCTCGAAGTCGTTGCTGATGGGCGGAAAGTATGTAGAAACCTCCTTCAGGCTGACAATATAATCTGATTTCTTCATTGTGTCCTGATTGGGAGTTGGATGATTGGCAGTGTCAGTTGAGGGGCTAAGTTGACAGAAGTGGGACACGTCAGGTTTTCGACTGCGAGTTGGACCCACAGCAGTTGAGGAATGTTGCTCACTTTCAGTACTTGTTTGAGACAATTCAACCGAACAGTCCTCTTGGCTGAGTGACTCTACCCATGCGGATGGTGTGAGAAAGGTACTCTTCTTCTGCCTCCTCAAGTCTAGACTCTGACTTCGCTTACTGCGGTCCAAGGTTTTGGGACCTTGGGTCTTAGCTCTCCAGTGTTCTGGACCTGAGGTGTGCTGACTGTGATGACCCATGTCAAAGCTGCCAACAGAAGCATTCCTGCTGCCATTGAAGCTCGTGCTCCTTCTCATGTCTTCACGCCTGCTTCGCTGAGACAGCGAGCAGCCGTGTTGAACATGAGAAGCAATCCTGTGGTGTAACATGGGCTTCGCAGGTTGTGACGTGGGCAACTCAAACTCCGGCTCGTCTACGCTCATCTCGACACATGACTCTTTGCCAATTGAACCAATTGGTTCACTGAGCATTTCTTCCAAACTTGTAGAGTCTGGTACTGAATCTGGAGTGTTTCTGTTGTGAAACATTGAGCTATTACTAAGAATGTTTTCCTTTTGTGGATTACGAAATGAGTCACTTGTTTCTTGGTCAAAGGACAAGAATCGTCTTGGACTATGGTAGCCTTGTGGCGGATCTACTCGACACCTCTGGTGAGAGAGAGTTGAGGTGTCAACAAAAGAGTGACGGACTCCATTGGGTTTCTTAGTAAATGATTCAAGAAAATAGGGAGAAAAAGAAGGAGTCAAAGGGGGAGACGTATTCAAATAATCTCTGAATGGATTCAAAGTTGAACTTGAGTCATAAGGATGGGCTTCCCAGTTGGGTGAGGACGATGTATGGTATCTAGATCTCTCCTTACCACCTTGACGGTAGATGTTTGGTAAAGTCTTGCTTTTATATTCCCACATAAGACCCTCAACACTTTCGTCCCCATTGCTTGTTTGTCTTTGCTCTGTCTTGACTTTCATGGAGTTTCTTTCTAGTGTGTACCATCGCAGCTCCCTTTCCATTTCTTCTCGCTCCTGTGCCAGCCTCAGGCACCGACTGAGGTTCCCTTTCTCACGTTCATGCTCCATTTGGAGAACCAAAGTGCTTGCTGATGTTGAAGGCTGACCAATGCTGGCTCGGAGATGAGGCAGGACGGGAAATACTGAAGGCAGTCCTCTGTTGACACGAGGCATGGTACAAAAACTGGTGTTTGAATACAAGCTATTCTGATCAGGCGAAACAATGTAGCTTTCCTGAAGTGGTGGGAGTTGACTAAAGCTGCGCATTTGACTTGAATCACTCTCCAGTTTAAACGGAGGAACGTCAACAGAAAGCACACATGGCAGGTCTTTCTTGTCCTCCTTTTCCAAGTGGAGCGACACAGATCTTTTGACTCTGGAAATCGTTTTGCTGTTAACACTTATTGTGTCATAGTCATCGAATGCAAACCGGCCATCCGGACCTCTAGAAATCAACTCAATGGAGGGAGAAATTAAAGAGGTAGTCTTGCTAAGGCGGCCTCTGCTGTAGGACGGCTCTAGAGTCCTGCGCCGACGGTTTTTTTCTGTGCTCAAAGTGGAGCAGTCTGTCTGAGAGGAAGAAGTGGTGGAAGACATTGTGGGGTAGTGGGAGTTGGCTGGAAGGAGGCTTTTCTTCAACAGACTGTCTGGACTACTGGAGCCTGAAGTCTTACTGTGAGAGTGAGGGGAAAAGACGGGGAAGGGCAGAGGAGAGAGATTTATTAGTGGAAGAAAAACTGACTGCATTTAAGTTCAGCCAGCAGCTTGAATAGGTCTTCGCGAGGGAGATAAGAAGATGAAACAGAAACCTGTTGGCATTTTCAGCACATTCAAAGGAAGGAAAAAGAGAAAGGTTACTGTCTAATATTGCAGTGGAGTGATAAAGGGGTACTCACATTGATGGGGAGCACTTATAGATGGCAGGAAGGGGTTCTGAAAGGGAGGGATGAAGTGTAAGATGAACAACTTTGACCAGGAAGTGAAAAACAATCAACCCCATCAAGAGTCTATGATTTGTTGTAACAATACTGTAGTTTATTAAGTTTTTAGAAATGTTAATAAAATATTGTCTCAGGAGCATTGCCATGTTGTTCACGCTGCAATGCATTCTGGATAAGTGACGTCTAATGGTCCCATTGCCTGGCTGGGTCCAGTCAAAACAGCATGAGTAATGTCTAAGTCTTTTCAATTTGAACTGGGGAGCAATGGGAATGTAGAAATCACAAGAGATGATGAAGATGAGGAGAACCAAACACAGGAAGAGGACAGTGTGGGCCGTAGCAACTGGTGTTTGCTGCTGCCGCCGTCTTCAGCTTCATAAATGAAACAATGAGTGACACGTACTTCAGGTTGAACTGTGTGATCCGGTAAGTACTGTTATAGCTCTCTGTCTGGTCCGGATATAACTGAGGGCCAGTAGTACCGCTGGTACTAATGGCGCAGAGCTACGTTAGCACTTAAAAAACTTCCAGTGTCGAGTTTTGCTCGTACAAATGACTCAAAGTCTTCTGGAGAGAAATGTTGAGGGCACAAAGGCACATCCGTTGGAAGTTATGTTTCCCTCCTGCTCGCCTCCTGCGCTCCTCTTTTTTTCCATGTGGGAAATTATCCACATTAACCTCACTGTTTTTTTTTTATTACAGCCAACTGTGACACAGTGTGGCATCATCTAACATTACACCCAACAAACAACATGATGAACAACTACTCAGGTAAAGTTAGCCTCTGTGTTTACCCTGCAGGTTTAAAAATGGTGACCTCCATGGGTGAAAAACATAACAAAAGGTGCTATTTTTTAAAGTGATTATGAGTTTTGGTGGATCACAAACAACAATTTTAGTTAATAGGAAAATTATAAGATATTAAATTTGTTCAACTAATCTTGGATGCCTTCAATGACTCAAGCTAAACTTAATTATCACTCATTTATCACCAACTAATGAGAAATTACACAAATCAGCAAGCAACGTAAACAACATCCATAATTTTTACAACTGGATGGGTGAGGAAGAGACAAGTTAATTCCTAAATCCATGAAGAGTAAATTTATTACACAGACATGAAGTGGCTCAATACTTTACTGAATAAATGATCACATTCAACATGCGGTTCATCACAATGTGCTAAGTCTTCAATGGGAGATGAGTACTTACCGTTCTCCGTCTTCCTGCGGCGACGGTCCCTCCTGCGGCTGACGAAGCAGGCAGAACCGAGCAACAAGACCAGCGCCAGAAACATGAAGCCGACGCCGGCGAGCACACCGGCCAGCAACGGCTCCGGGACAAACGTAGACGTGGCTGCGAAGCTCTCCGTCTCTGGAAACACACAAATACGTCTAAATAGACAAAGAAATAAGTGACTGTGAATTCAGCCACACGTAGAAAAATAAATGACCAAACTCCAAGTTTCATTCTCAAAAAACATCAAACCTTGATTTTTGACCTGAATGAAACACATTTTGTTTTTACTTAAATATTACATTTTTATTCATTTATTGTTATATAAGACAGACAAAGAAAGTATAGGTGTACATTGGCAAAGAGCTAGTAATTATTCTGATGCTTTATGTCCGGTTGTTATGTACAGTTGTCATTATTACTATTATTATTAATATCACTGCTACAACTATTACTTTTACTACTATTACTATTATTACATAGGTTTTCTTGTCTTGTGAGTTATTTTGTAATAATTTTGTCTATAATGTAATTTATTTGTTGGCCCAGTATATTGCAAAGGCTCATGAGTATTATAACATGGTTTTAATTACAAATTTTTAATAATTATTGAGTTGGTAAGTGACATATTTCATTAAACTGAGATAAGGGCTAAATCAAGGTTCACTCTTTTTCAAACAGAAAAGTAGTTTTAAGCTAATTATTTTTGTTCTTATTTATGTTGTCCCTCCTTGTTTTTAAAAATAAACTCAAATTAGGAAGTTTTAAACCATTTGTTCAAACTAAACATTGATTAATCAACTTGATCTTTTACCAATTTACTTTTGAAACATTGTTTTGTGAGCCCAGTTTTCAGAAAGAGTCCATCTTTCTTATTTAATTTTTAGATCTACCTCTTAATAATTATTCTCAGTGACACAGTTGTTTTTCTACAATCTTTGACAGCTAAATGCAGATTAACTCCTCATTTCATTTCTCTCTTTACAATATAAATGTCTTCACAGAACAGTCATTGTTAAATCATAATGATTTGGGTATAGATTTGATGTCTTATTTAATTGTTGATCCTTGAACATGTTTGTTTTGCAGCCAGATGTCCGAAACTCAGCACAGCTGTTTAAACAAAAGCAGATTTGAGCTGAGGCTGATCGACTCCTACGTCTGATTTAACATTCATGTCACACACAAATAAAAGTCGAACAGGAAGAAAAAAAAAATAAAAAAATTAGTGGAGCTATTTCTATGGGCCGTGCTTCAAATGGGCAGCGTTCCCAGGGGTCTCGCTCTGATTCCTCTCGCTGAGGAGAGACGGCGTCACTTTGAAGAGGAGAGGCTGCTCTCTCTCAAACTGCTACCTGCGGTGGAGACGTTGACTGATGGACCGGGCTCGCTCAGCAGCTCCCCCCGACGAGAAAGCATCCGCAGCTCATACACACGGTCCTGGAAGCACACGCACACACACACACACACACACACACACTGAGGATGAAACCACACTTTGTCAACACATGGCGCTGTCTGCAATGCTAATGAAGTTCATTTGAATTCATGTAGACCCATACAGGAGAGGGGAGGGGGAGCTGAGACAGGCACAGGGAGGGAATAAAACAATGAAAAATGGAAGTGATGACTGTCATGTAGTCCACAAACACTGCAGCACAACCAGAACCAGAACCAGAGGGACCGGCTCGTTACCTTCTGCAGACCCCTAACCAGGATGTGGCTGCTGCTGGCGTTGATGTTCTCCTCCACATTGAACCAGTCCTCTGCTGCGGCGGTGGCGGAGCGGGACTGGAGGACAAAGCCTGTGATGGGCGGCTGCTGGGCGTCAGGGAGGGCCCACTGCAGGATGACACCTGCTGAGCTCTGATTAGCCCACAGCGACGCGGGGGGCTTCGGTTTGATGCTCCTCTCTGGCGGATCTGATGCGGGGAGAATCAGAGACTTTGAGTCCATCAGAGGGAGGCAATTAAATCAACGCAGAACCCCGAGCGTTTGGAAGAGAAGCTAACGTTAGCTCCACTGAGGAGAAAACAATTAAAGGGGCAGCAGTACATAAAAGCCACTTTGGGTCATGTTTTAATTCTATTTCCTGGAGTGTTGCTTTGATGGTTGCCATTTCAGCATTTCTGAGTTTTCAGAAAACGCCTGGGTGCAGCTGGCCTCGCCTTCGAGGACAGCTATCAGTATAACTATCAGTATTTGCCTAAAAAAGTTTTTTTTTTTTCCTGCTGAAAGTCAGACTATCTTTGGCGTTTCCTCCAGTAGTAAGATCCAGCTGTCGGTCATGAAACATATCCGTTTGCAAACCACCTCTTCCTAAAGTTTTTTTCAAAACTGGCAAATTTATTTTCCTACTTTCAATTTGTGGCTTTTACAGCTACTGAGAGAAGCAGGTTGTGTATAAATATTAGGTTTTTGCTAACAGTAGAGTCCTTGTTCCACTTCTGCAGAGACAAAAAAAAAAAAATAGAGCAAACTAGGAAAACTGGACTGACCCAAAGTGCGTGCAGTGGCGATCTCGCTGAAAGGCCCTGTGCCAAACTTATTCTGAGACAAGACGCTGAACTGGTAGTCGGTGGCGGGAGAAAGGCCCGAAACCTGCAGGCTGGTGCCGGATGAGGGAGGAACGGGCACAGAGAACCAGTCCTGCCTCCCGTCGCCATCGCTCACCGAAGTCCTCTTCACCCTGCGGAGCCGGAGAGAGCGGGAGGAGAGGAGGAGTGAGAACAAAACAGCAGCAGAGGCTTCTGGGAGTCTGGCTGTATGAAACATGACAGGAAAGTAGGTTTCATTAATCATTCATGCTCATCATCTGCTGGAGATTTTGCGGCAGAGACAAGCTCTGATGGATCGCCGATATTGCACAGAGCGCACGCAACTCCAATTTGGTGTGATTTTCATGTTCCTACCAGAGATGAAGCTTTTATCTGACCTTCAGGGCTTTTAAGAGGAAAAAAAAATCATCATTAGCCTATTCAGAACGACAGGAAAATATTCACGTCAGTCTGAAAATAAAAGATGAGAGCTTTGTGATGTAGTTCGATTCTTTAAGAAAACTTCACGCTGAAGTAAGTTTGTTTACCAACAATTGTCCTACCCTTTTTAAAACGTGTGAAAAGCATCTGGCAAAGAGCAATACGTTCCTTTAAAAGACAAAGTGTAAACGGAAGGAAATATGAAAACAAGCTGCCATTAAATACTTTCCGTTGGGTTTATATACTGAACTCGTCCATGTCAGGTGGCGTAAACAAAACACAAAAGCAGAAAATGAGTCAAATTCTATGCAAAAATAACAGAAAATAAGTCCAAGCTCAACAAAACACATCTGCTGGTTGTTTTCTGTTAAATAGGAGCAAATAAGTGTTAAAACAGACGCCGTTGGGAAAACAGTGTCTTCAGTCAGAGGCTTCTTCAGACTGGTTGTAATACGAACTGCTACAGGAGCACCTACAGCAGTTCTTAAGAAATTTGTGAGACAACTTAATTTATCTTTGGGATTTGAATTGGGTTTTAAATCAGGAATCATGTAAGACATGGGGACCTCATGATGAAACACAGTGGTGGCAGCATCATGCTGTGGGGGAGCATTTTCTTCCTTTTTTTTCCAGCAGTGACATAAAATTTAGTCAGAGTTAATGGGAAGACTCTTGAAAGTTCACTTTCAAGAGACTAATTTTATGTGTATTAACGTGTTGGAATGGCCTAGTCAAAGACCAAACTTGAATCCAATTGAAAATTTGCGACAAAACTAAAAAAACTGATTGCAACTACCCTACCCCAACCCTAACCCCCCTAACCCTAACTTCAAGAGATGGGAATGTAAGTTGGGAATGTAAGTTTTATACGGCATTTAGCTTCTGATCATCTGAAATTTGGAACAAACTTAAGTGAAAATATTGCAAATTTTTACAAATTAGAATCAAACCATTTCATTTTTTTTAATCACAAAAAATGACAAAAAACATCACAAAATCCTGAAGGGCCTGAAAAGATGTTCAACAATAATATTACATTTTAAGGATTTAAAAATGAGAACCGGTTTTATCAATACATTCTGGCGGAACCGGCCCTTTAAGAGCGTTCTTGATCTGGATTGGCCCAAAACAAAAATGAGTTTTATTCCTGTTCTGGTTGAGTGAAGTTTGTCTGAATCCGGATCCGTTTCTCAGCTCGTTCTGTCACATAAAACCCCAAATAAACTCCCTGATAAAAGCAGAAACAAGCCGTCGGCTTTTATCGGTCGCTCTGTATCCTCCTCGATGGTTTCGGGTCCGAAGCGTCGTAAAGCTACACTCCGCTCCGCCGAGGGGTGATAGCAGATAAATGAATTCCTCATCCCCGAGATCAATAGAGCAATTCTGGGGCTGTCGATGGCTGCCATGGTTACGGCCCGAGAGGAAAGCGGGCGGCTTCACACCCACCAGACCGAAAACGTCTGCGCTGATCCTCCGTCGAAGCCGGCCTCCCAGGATAGGTTGGCCCGGCTCGGCCCGGGAGAGACGGACAGCGCGGCGGCCGCGTGGGGACTGGTTCCTGCAGCGAGAGCGGAGAGGAGAGGAGAGGAGTTGGTGGAAACGGGCCAGCGCTCCAGATACCTGACGGAGCAGAAGGTCAGAGGAGCATCTACTGAAGTTCTGCATTTATACATCGGAGGCGGCGCGGAGGCACCGGCTGGTCCAGGTGGACCGAGCAACACAGGAAAAGAGCAACACAGGAAACTGCTCATGTAACCATCTCAAAAAAGAAGAAAGCTGCTTAAAAAAGATGGCCGTTCAGAGAGCTGGATACAAATATACTCACAGAAAGTTTAGTGGCAAGAAAAAAAACTGGTGGTAGATCAAGTGATCATGACATATACCATGTGAATAAAATATTTAGACAAAAATAGAAGACTGCTGCGCTGCACTCCCACTCCCCCCGGTGGCTGTTCAGAGCGCCGGATGCAAATATACTCATGGAAAGTTTAGTGGAAGGAAAAAATGTGGCAGTAGATCATGTAATCGTAATACACCATCTCAAACAACATTTTAAAAATATATATTTTTTTAGTATTTTCTATTTTTGGGAGGAGACTGCTGCTGAACAAGATGACCGTTCAGAGCGCTGGATGCAAATACACTCATGTAAAGTTTAGTGGAAGGAAAAAATGTGGTAAAAGAAGATGCACAGCAGCCATGTGAGAATTGTTCAGCAAATGTAATGGTTTACTTAAAAGGGGGTGAATGAAGGGTTTCTACATGGGTCCATTGTTTCCTCTGTTGAACTTTTTCCTTCTACCAAACTTTCCATCAGAATACTTGCATAGGGCATTTTGGACATCCAGCTTCCCTACCAGAGATTGTGTGTGTTCATTTCTGCTGTCATGTTAGCATGTTTGCTGTGTATTTTACTGATCTCCTGAAACGTGTGCTGTCACTTTAAGGAGGGATTACCCAGGACAAAGACTCGTGTGCGGGTCTCTACGGATGCAGCGCGGTTGGAGACGCTGCACTCCCACTCCCCCTGGTGGTCCTTCAGAAGAGGCTGCAGCAGCAAAGACCCGTTGGGTTCAATGGAGTAAGAAACAGAACGAACCGGGTCAACCTGAATAAAAAAAAGAAAAACAACAGTAAAGTAATTTACATCGAGCAGAAATCTTAAAATACTTTCAGATTTTACAAAATTACGTATCTTTTACTTTCACTCAATGATTTTCTGCAACTTTATGTTGGCTTATTACCCAGAAAAACATATAAATGATCTGCCAAAATGTGGCCACTTTCAAGAAAAATACAACTTTAGTGGTGCCTTAAAGCTTAGTTATTTATATTTATATTTTTATTTTTTACATAGTCATTGAAAGAATTTAAAGTAAGTGTTTCCAGACTGGTCGCTCCCACTCGTCATCCCTTTGGATGGTGTTTCTCTGCCCGTTTCTTGGAGGCGGTCCGGTCTTTATCCCCATAATGTGGTTTCTATCCAGGTGAAATGGACGATGTGGATAATAGATCACAGGGGATTGTGTGAAATCCTTTGGGCTTTGACTGGATCGCCAAAGGCGAGTGTGTGAAATTACTGAGCTGCATCTTGCTGTAGGGAACATTTCATCTCCAACACTCTAAACCTCCTCGTCATTTCCTCAGCCGCAGCAGAGAAACTCTGGGAGGATTTGGAAGTCAGTTAATTGAAGAAGCGTCAACGAAGCTTTCAGAGAGGAGAAAACTTTCTAGCCAAAGGATACTTAAGACGGACGGATGGATGGAAAGATACAGTCTATCAAAATGGCCGCCAGTGAAGAGTTGGGTCTCACAATGGCAACCCAGGCGTTTCCCCACCAAATCAAGCCTTTAATTATCTGTTCTTAGGCTTTTGGTAACATTTCTTAGACGTTTCTTTGCTTCATAGAGAGACAAGCAGCTTGTGGTTAAAGAAAAGCATGTATGTTTTCATTTAGAATATTTTTATTTTGCTTTATGGGTGTCAGATTTACCTTGCTCCAGGTGGTTGTTGCGACTGCGTTTCCCTGACAGGGGATGAGCAGCGTCCTCCCGGCGTCCCGCCTGTATTCCTCGGCTGGAGTGACGCTGAATGACGGGGGGTCCTGCCAAACGCCAACGCAGAAGGCTGAATCAAGGACATCGCAGCAAAGCAAAACCAGGCATTTCCAGACTGGATTACCGCCGCCTTGGACTACATTATCTTAATAACAAGAGGATTAGCCGCACAATTAACTCCCCCGCTAAGTGACATCGCTGTAGTCGGGCGAAGTTGACTTCTGTTAATGTGGGAGAGCCTCACAGGTCGGCGGGAAAAGGTCAAGAAAACGTTTCTTCTCAATACACAGTGAGAAAAGTCATCATGCTTGATGTGAATAGAAAGATTTAATTTAAGTGTCGAATAAGTCGAAAAACAAATCAAGATGGTAAACAGTAGTAATTCTACACATTTTTTATACAAATAAAACTCATTATGTCCATATTTCTTCTGGTATTCCTCTAATTACCACAGCAACCAATTAGCATAAACTATCACAACATGGCCGCCAACTTAAAACACAGAAGTGATCTGAGGAAGCAGCTGAGAGACTCAAAGTGACTCTGGAGGAGCTGCAACGAAACTTTTCATGTGTTAGAATGGCCTAGTCAAAGGCCAGGATTTTAGGTAGGAAATTTTTTTTCTTTACTTCACAACTTTACACACGTTTGTGTTGGTCAGTCGAGGTCAGTCCCAATAAAATACTTACGATGTAACAAATTGTCAAGAAGTTTCTAATGTAAATGTTTTCAACTTTTCAGCAAGAAAAAAAAAAAGAACTTTTTAAGTCAATAATTAGTTAATTTTGATGAAAAGTGAATTAATTCACTTATAATATGGGAAAAATATCTTATAAGTAATCTGCAAGTGGAACCAATATTAAGGAATGATTAACTTAAAACAAGCTTTAATTTTTCTGCAGAAAAGTTACTTGTATATCAGTTTATTTTTATTTAAAATGTACTAAGATATTTGGATAAGACTTTATTAGAAGGGCTGTGCACAAGACTGACATTACACCGTCATAAACATGACATAGCACCGGTTATAAACATGAAGGAGTCTTTATAAATGTTGTCATAAAGTGTAATTTTGTAAATAATGACACTTTTAATAAAAAAAAAAAAAACTGCACTAAAAGTTGCATTAAAAGTCCATTAAAAGTGTCAAGTTTGCATTATTTGGTAAATAATGACACTTTCAATGCAAAGTTTTATAAAAACATACATTTAAAGTGTCATTTACTGACACGTCATGACAATAACAGTGTTATAAGAAGAGTTAAATCATGTTTATGACAGTGTTGTGTCAGTCAAATAAAAGTGTTACCCATATTTATAGTAGAAATTTTAGTTTTTGCAGTATTTATTAAATCTATTACTGGGTGAAATGAGCTTGGAGGTGGTTCTCGTTAAGTGTGACCTTTGGGCAGGTGAACCGCGTTGCTTTGTGTTCGTACCGACCTGCAGAACCAGCCTGGTGGGTCCAGATGGGCCCATGGTGCCGTAGCTGTTGTATGGAGTACAGCTGTAGGTGCCTGCTGCGTCTTCATTGACCGTCGCCATGACCAAAGAGCCGTCGGCTTTCAGAGTCCATCCCGGATACTGGAAGAAAGGCGCACAACTGAACTTCTTTCTTTTGTCCTGTCTCGACGTTTTTGTAATTCTTTACAAGAAAAGTCAAAGTGTTTTAATAATTTGGAAATATTTACGCATTATAAACAGTAAATGTGACTTTATTACTCGTTGTAGAAATCATGGACCATTATAATCTGATATCAATTGAAAACGAGCCAGCAGTTTAGTACAAGTAAGAAATTATTGACAATTTTTGAGAAGAATCTGCAATAAACTCCTACTTAAGTGTTTGAATTTGTTAATTTTCAGTTAATATCCATGATAATTATCAAGAAACTGCAGTAATTTATATAATGTGGCAGTAAACAGATGAAAACTGCATTGATTTGATTGATAACATGATACTTGAGTATATTTTGTGTTTACTCTAGAATCTAGGGGGCCACATGAAACGCTGTGGTGGACCAGATTTGGCCCAAGGACCTTAAGTTTGACTCATGTGACATAGAGAAATTAGTTGCCTATATGTGTCATTACAAAAAAAAGCCAAACCGATATAATGGTAATCTATAAATGGTTAAAATGCATCTATCTTTGGCCAATATAATGTAGAAATGTCCCTTTTTCAGTTGAATTGCATCATAAATGTGATTTCATTGATATTATAATTCAGTCACATTCACCTGGATGTATGGGAAGAGAAAAAATGTGAGAAACTACGAAGAGGTGTTGGACCTGAGAGGCGTTTCTGTCATGTTTTTTTATTCTTTCTCCTAAGGTATGCATTTTCATCCATCTGGCATTGGTGAAAAAAAGAACATTACCTCCAATAAAAATCACAAAAAACATAAAAATATATACACTTTCTGGCTATTTCAATCAAACTTTTCAGGTTTCATAATCAGTTTTTGAGAAACAGAATTAAAAGCACTCAAAGTGATTTTTTTCCATTACGCCTTCAGTGAAAAGCTTTCGCTGCGTTCAGGAAGTTCTCCACTTGGCTGCTTAATGAAGCCAAAAGTGCCATTATTCTCCGCGGATTGAAGCCGTAAGTATCGCCGCGGCAGGATCGGAATAATTGGCAGAATAACAGCACCAGTCTCCTGCCGTGCATCTCATTCTCTGACACTTTCATCGCTCCCAGTGTCAAAAATACAGATGGGAGGAAACGCCGGACGCTTCTTAAGAAAAACCAAAGTTTAACTTTTCCCTTAAACCAATAAGAGGAGAAGCGGTTTTCCAATCAGGAAAAGTAAAAGGGAAGAGAAGGGAAGTTCTAATCTGTAATGGGTCCCCCACTCATTACAGGGGGGAGGAAGATCGAAGGGAAAGTCGGGGAAAACACGGAGGTGAGGAATTCCTGAGGGATTGCTTCCAGAGCTCTTAAGACTGAACACATTACCCTCATCCATTAAAATGTATGTGATTGAATGGCCTTCTGCTGCAAAGCCGGCAGGAAATTTCCATCATGAGCAGAGGGAATGTCAGAGAGGATATCCTTCCCTTACATACATATTTATTCACAGCTAAACCCAGAATTGTTCAGATCTCTGGCAGATTTATGTTTAATGTTCTATTTCTGAAAAACTTGGAGCGGCTCAGCCAGAGTCCAGAATTAAATCTTGACCGGCGAATGGAGAAAAAGATTAGAGGAGTGGCAAATCAAGACATCACCTGCAAAAGAATCACATCAACTTTGTTTCTCTGTGATCAGAAGATAAACTTCTTGTTCAGAGACAAACAGAGGAAGCCCTACAGGTGTTTTTTTTTTTTTTGAGGTTACAGATCGGATTGCTCTTTGCCAGCCATATGGAGAGGACATAAACGTCATAAGAAATCATATAGCCAAAAAAATAAACTTCTGTGTAAACAGCATCATAACGCATAGAATCAGAAAAGTTATGAATGAGAACCAAACAAATTGAAAAAGGTGTGAAGTTTTATAATAGATAAAATCATAATTAAAAGTTCATTTTTATCTCAAATTTTGTTGATCTGAAACATTTACGTGTGACAGAAAAAGCAGGAAAAAATTATGACAAAACAGTTTTTACAGCCTTGTAGGGGATCCTACCTGCTGCTACTATCCTCCTAAATACCACTGAAAAAACAAGGATGTTTACTTTTTTCTCCCCACACACACACACACACACACACACGCACACACACACGCACACGCACACACACGCACACACACGCACGTCTTCCCAGCCTGAAGCAGACACGCCAATAACTTCATTTCTGCAAATCCTTCAAAACATCTACTGGAGGGTAAAATGCAGCTCTGCTGAGGGAGAATGAATAGATTCATCCACTTTACCTGGAACCACCATCATTTAAACTGCTGTTGACAACATAATGACGCACAGAAATTTGCTTATTTTTGAAACTGAGCACTGCACAGGAAAACTTCACCAAATCGTGAGATTATTGCTTATTACCAGAGACAGATCCAGAGGCTCTCCGTCTTTTATCCAATCCACACGCAGCAGCGGAGGCTGAGCTGCCGCCGGGCATCGGATCCCGCCGCCCATACCTGTGGGTAGGTACGTTTCCTCGGGCATTTGGAGAGCCTTGGCTGGGTCTAAGCGTAGTTAAAACACAAACCTGAGTTATTAAAGTCTTAAGCTAAATCACGCCTCAGTAACCTACTAATGTTCCAACAGTTCTACCAAAGAAAACATTAGATCTGTTTCACACAAAAAGTCAAGGACTTATTCATCTCCAAATCAAAATTATCACAAGTTTCTTTTTCTATGCTCAGAAGATAAACTCCTTGTTCAGAGACAACCTGTATAAAAATAACTGCTGAAGAGGCAACAGATCGTATTGCTCTTTGCCAGCCGCATGGAGAGGAAATAAATGCCATGAGTGTAAATATATAAACTTCTATGTGGACAATGGCCTGATGTAAAGGACTTTACATAAAATCAGCCATCACTATCTGCCATAACCTTCTTGAAGAATCTTGAGTTAAAACAATATTTGAATTCCCCTCTGGATCAATAATGTAATTTTAAATGCAGCCTGCTGTTTGTGTGCAGAGAGAATCTGCAGACTATCGCTTGCTTGTTCTGACATCCAGCTGAGCTGAGGATAATGTATTTTCAGAGGAAAACAATGAAGCCGCAAGGAAACGAAATGATTAATTATACTACAATATGAGCATTTCTTTGCCAACAGAGAAACAGCTACCCTTCAAACAAACAAGCAAACAAACTGAAAATTTGGCATTTTCTATTGCATACACCAGCAACCTTTTGAACATGCACTTTTTAATGCATAAAGGAAATAAAGAAGTATTTATTTTAAAAGAGAAATTTTTTTACCCAAGTACTTTAACTTTTGCCAGAGCAACTTTTAATTGTGGTTGAGAAAGATTAGATTAATGAGTACCAGTACTTTAACTCCATTTTCTGCATTGTTTGATGAAAATAATGTTGGTTTAAATCATTTTTAAATGTAAAAATCCACCTAATAGTTTAGTCAGTTTGCTCTAAAGCCTGAGTCAACTGTGTGCAACAAATACACGATTAGCTTCAGCTAGCCAGTTTTCTAAAACTACTGGTAAAAGTTTAATAAGTTGAGTATTGGGGTATTCCTGCAACACATAAAAAAAGAAAATCGTCACTTCGACTTCAGCCGTTCTCTAAAGGTTTCCGTCTATTAAATAAAATCTGAAAAAACAACGACGTGGATGTTTGTCCTGGCCTGCAGTCAGAAGATGAAGAGCGTATGGATCCAGAGAGCGGCATCAATAATCAATACGCCTCACTACACTAAACCAGTGCAGTGAGGCGTAATTGGTTGAGTGGGAAAGATGTAATTTAAGGACTTTATGGGTTGGTAACTTTAATCTGCTACGGTCTGTTATTGTACTCTGAAGTGGCTCAGGGTTTCCTGTTGCTTGAATTACTTAAATAAATCCTGTTACATTTGATGTGGAAAGTAGATCCTGAAAATGGTGCTGTGAACTGCACATTATTCCCCCAACGATAAATATTGAGCTAAATTAGTGGCGTTACATTTCTGTCAATTTTTCTTTCGTTTCCTGATTTTGTTCCCTTCCTTTTTTACTCCATGTTTTCTTCCACTCTTTTCTTCCCTCATTTTTACCTTCCTTTCTTCTGTTTTTAGGTTATTTTCCTTCTCCCATTTTTTGTCTTTCATTTTTCTTCCCATCCTTTCTTATCCAAACTTTAACTTAATTCATTTTATTTTCAGTGTCTTTTCTTTCATCTTATCCATCTTTCCTTTCTTTCTCCCCCATCTTTTTAAGTTTCCTTACTTTTCTACCAACTTTTTGTTTTCTTTAGTTTCTTTCCTTTTGTCCTTCTTTCTTCACTCCCCATATGTAGCCCTCCTTTCCTTCCTCCTTTGGGTTCAGTTTGCAGCTCAGTGAAAACTGGACCCAAATTCAAATCAACCGAGACGTTTCTTCTACTTTACCTCCTCATGTTGCCGAGTTCAGTAAATTTCTGTCTTTAATCACCGGCAGCAGCAGCAAAACCTTCAGCTTCATTTCCCTTCATCAGGAAATAATTTCAAACATTTAAAACGCTACGTACGCATCACAGTTAAGATGGCGGAGGCGGTGGGCGGGCTCAGCAGCCCATTGGTCGGTATGCAGGTGAAGTTCCCGGAGTCTTCTGGCAGCAAACGGAAGATCTGCAGCGTTCCATCAACCAGGATCCTGACGCGCGACTTCAGGGACCTGCACAGGAAATACCCATCACATCAGGCGTGCAGAGAGTTTATCTGAACAACAAACCAAAACACAGCAATGGAGGTTTGATTATGTCAACAAGGGACGCTGTAATGAAAACATGTTTTTGTATCACTTTATCAGCAGGGTTTATGCAAGTTTCAGGGCCTTGTAAGACCTTTTAATGTCACCTCCAATTTAATGTAAGACAAAAAAAAGGGAATATTTGGGGCTCACAATAAGACATGGCAAAAACATGACGTCAAGAAAAATGTTGAAACTTTCGTCGCCGTTGTTGCAACAACCCAAAATGACGATGAGCCAAAAAACTAGCCGCCTAACTAGCAGCTGGTTAGCAGCTGTCTTTACCGCCTCGAGTTGCAGAACACGATGAAGACGTGTGCACGGCTCAAACTTTTACCTGACAGAAAAGTTCAGTAGAGAAAAAGCTACAAATACGAGATCAAATCAAAATTAAAGGCATGGAAAATTTTGACAAGACAAAAGAAAGGTGAAAAATATTTAAAGTTTAGTATTGCCTCCGATATGTTGGGTTTCTTTTTTCCAAGACTTTTTAAAACCTTAATTTTAGATGCACAGATTTGACTATTTTAAGGTCTTAATTTTCCGTTAAAAGGTTTTAGTATTTTTAAGATATTTCAGATCTAAAGTTTAAACATGTGAATTGAATTTATAGGACTTTCTAAGGCCTTAATTTTCTGTACATAAAACAAACTGTTAGTCATTTGAGTCCTGAATTGTAGGTACATGAAATTATTCTAATTTTTAAGACATTTAAAGGCCTTAATTTTCATTCATGGAATCAAGGTTTTCCAAATATATTTCAGGCCTTAATTTTACATATGTGAATTTAAGGCCTGATTAAAAAAATCTTTAATTTTCATATGTGAATATTTTATTAATGCCTTAATCTATAATTCATGAATTTAAGGCTTTTTAAGGATAATGTGTGTCAGACAGTAACAGATGTTCTCCAGGGAAACAAACAGCAGGAAACTGATGGAGAGAAGAAAAGGTGTGACCAGAGCCTTCCCAGTTCCCCCAGTTCCTCCAGTCCCAGCTCTGCTGTGAATTAATTTTCCCAGCAGCGGCAGAAGCAGTGGGACCGTGTGGGTCACGTGGATCCGTCCTGCCCGGCAGTAAATCTCCTGAGTTCATCGTGTTGTTGCTCCACAGCGGAGGAATGGCAGCCGTTCACGGCCCGACCCGGTTCTGGCCGTGCCAACGGCGGCGTCGGGAAACGGCCAACACAAGGTTTTCCTGTCGTATTCAGGCGGCTGCTTACCTTGGATCAGAACGACGCTTTAATTCAAGGATGTTTTAAAAAAATGACAATTTTCTTTTTGTCTTTACTTTTCCTGCTTCCTCGCATCCTTTCCTTTATCCTTTCTGCCTTCCTTTGTTTTCTTTCCAAAATATTTCAGTCAGTCTTTCCTTCCTTTATTCTTTCAGTTCTTGCACCTCTCTATCTTTCCCACTTTTCTTCCTTTTGTCATTTTTTCCTTCTCTCCTTCTCTTCATTTTTCTCCTTTTTTGCCTCCTCCCGTTTTTTTGCTTGCTTTGTGGTGGAAAAATTACAAAAATTTATCATCTGCTGATCATGTTGTATGAAATGCTTGTGAACTGTCACCACAACCATTTGGGTCACATGTAGACGTTTGGAAGTTGTTTCTACATCTGCATCAGAACCAGACTGACTCTCCATGTTTTGAATTTATTATCCTTGGTATAAAACTGAAGAGTCTCTGCATGGAGGAGCTTTTCATCCAGACCTGCTTCATTATTGATTGTCCTACAAGCTCTCTGTGTTGTGCACAATATATGAATAAACCTGATTGGGTGATTTCACCTGACAGTGCTTGGTGAAATTGTTTTTTCCATGACACCTCCTTTCATTTTATTCCCTTTTCTTCCTACATTCCCTCCTTCCATTTTTTCTTTCTTCCTTTGGTTTTCAATTTTTTGTCCCATTGCTCCTTTCCTCTCTTTCTTTTGTTGACCTGCACTCCTTCCTTCTTCCATATGTTCTGTTTCTGTTTTATTTTATGATTGTTTTTTGCCATTTTCACTTTTATGTTTAGGCTCATAAAAGTCTTTGGGTTTCACCCCAAACTCATCAAAATAAGTTGTGAAAACTTGAAGGTAAAAATTCAAACCTGGATTTCCTCGACTATTTTTTCACCCAAACTTCCAAAGGAGTTAATTTTTCTAGTAACAGATAATTAAATCATCTTCACGTTTTGAACTCCAGTGTTGCCTGCTACTTCCTGCACATCAACTCCAAATGCCCCTCTGAATTTCTTCCCTCATTAAAATCGTGTAGAGAATTAACCTGAGCTCGACTGTAATGAGTCGCGATGTGTTCAATGGAGAAACGCTAACGAGGGGAGCCCTAATGGAAATTACCCCAACCCTCTTCACCCCCATCTGCTCGTCTGACCTCTGCCATATTCAGCAGCTGTTGGATGGCGAACGCTGGTAATCACAACCGTTTACACTCAGATCCTCCGTCTCCCAGTAAAACATTAACAAACTCCTTCTTCGCTGCACGCTTTGCGCTTTTTTACGATGAAATTAAACACGAGAAACTGGGGTGAGCACAGCTGAATCACCTTAAACTGGTGAATCATTAACCCGTTTTTTTTTTAAACCAGCCACACAAAGACCATCTTTAATCCCCGACCTGCTAAAACACAAAATGTTACAAACAATTCTGGACTAGTTCTAGTGTAAATATCTTAAATAAGACCAAACTAACTTACAAGTAACATTTCAGCAAGAAATATGTTCTTTTTTTTATTCAATAATTCCTTAATATTGATGGTAAAGTATTAGCTAAACCTAGCAACCAGTACAAGTTCCATTGGCAGATTATTTCACTGAAAACATTTTTTACATTTTATAAGTGAAATAATCTGCTTAAAAGTTATTTGTAATCTAGTTTTTTTCTTATTTTAAGTAAATTAAGAAATCTGCATTAGAAACTGGACCAAAAATATTTTGTGTTTTTGATGAGATTTTCAAAACCTGAACGACGAGACACAGGACAATAAAAGTAAAAAACATAAGCATAAGAAGCTTGGTCCTGTAGTGTCACAACGCAGGAGCAAACACACACACACACACCACACCACACACCACACACACACAACACACACACACACACACACACACACACACACACCACACACACACACACACACACACACACACACACACACACACACACACACAGATTTCACTCACAAACATTCAGGTGGAAAATCTTTTAAAACCTCAAGGTCAACTTCAGAGAAAACAAACATGGCCGACTGGAGTGAAGCAATAGCAATATTTTGTGGACTATATTTAACAGGAAAAAAGAAAAACAATAAAAAGACAGCTGATGGTATTTTCTCAGTGTTTCCATCACTGTGCTTTGTCACATTAAACAGCCTGCGTCCTCATTTGACAACAAAATCTGGACAAAAATATGAATAACAAACTTGCCACGCAAACTAGGCATAACACTTAATCTGGAAAGGCTTAAAAAACCTTTTTATGGCTTTGGACAGTTGGAGTGACCCGCTGTGAGAGTGAGGTAAGGTGAGCTCTACCACAACTAGAAACATTAGAAATAATACCAAGTGTTTTTGGTCTCGTTTCTACAAAACGAACTTACAAGATAATAGTTTTTTTTATTTTTTTTATTAAGTCTTTATTATTATCACATGGTGAAAAATGTCTCGTTATAAGTGAAATAATCAGCCAACAGAACAAGTTCTTCTTCATCAACATGAAGCATTCACTTACCAACTTTTCACCAGGATATAGGATCTGGTTTTAAGCCAATAATTTCTTGATATGGATGAAAAAGTTTTAGGTCCGATGGTAGATTATTACACTGCGCCGTTGCCTAGCAACCCCAGCCAGTCACCTAGCAACCCAGTTGTAGTTCCATTGGCAGATTATGTCACTAATGAGACAATTTCCCCATCAGTGAAATAATCTGCCAATGGAACTTTTTCATCAATGATAAAGAATTATATATCTTAATGAAAACTTACTTCTAAGTTTGCTTTGTCTTATTTCTAGTGTAAAAGGATAAAAAGGATATCTGCACCACAAACTAGACCAAATATACGAATGGTCAGACTTTGGTGTTTGGGGCCATTTAGTCCCAGAGTTTGACAATAACTGGTGGAGCTGCAGGGATTCAGCAGTCCAGATGTTCAAATATGGTAGAAACGCATCCAAAAATATAGTCACAATGTAAACTTATGCTCATTTTTATTTGTAAGGAACAAAATAAAACATAAATACATATTTTATATCACAAGAGCGAAGTTTCAGTCAGACTACAGAGCAATTCTGCCTTTAGCAGCTTTTATTTACATCGACTAGAAGCGGAATAAGACAAGAATAGATGATCCCAGAACATTAGAGACATATAAGAAGCACTTCTGCTCCTGCAGCACAGGAGAGACAGAAAGAAGGTCAAAACCATCAATTTTAAAGCCACAAATGGAGGAAAAGTTTGTCATCCAACCTAACAGGCTTTTAGAAAATGGTTTTGTAGATTTAGCTTGAAGCAGCTTTTGTGTATAGTAAAACCGAGATAAGAAAGTACGCCACTCACTCGATATGATGGACGTTTTCTCCAGCTTTCTGCCACACGTACGTCATGTTGGGAGGGTCGGCCACCGCCTGGCACTGCAGCAGTGCATTCTGGGACATGTTGAGGGTTGTGTCTTTAGGAGGAATGATGATGACAGGCGGACCTGAACAGAAGTGAATGACGGAGTTTTTATGCTTCTGTTTTGTGAAGAAACTTCAAAATCTGCGTAGAAAATCAAACATTTAAATCTTATAAGTGAGTGGCAACATTTTAAACAAGCGGCTAATATTTCATGATTTTTGGAACTTTTTTGTGCAAAACTTTCCAGTTTTTCAGTTGTGTGAAAGCAGTTATAGTTCATTGACCTTCTTTCAAAGCGATCTCAACCTAAAACCTTTACAAAACAAGACGATGCAAACTTCTGGAGGACAAATTTTTGTTTTCCGGCAAAAAAGGCAAAGACGGTTACTAGATTTAAGGAAAAATAACTTTTTAATTTGAAGAGCTATTTTTCTCTTCAACTGTTTAAATCAATTTGAAATTTTATTCAGCATATTTTCTTGCATAACCACATTAAGGAAGTAAAGACCCAAATGCTTATTCACAGAATTGGCCAAAATGCACAAAAACAGCAACTAAAGCAGGTGAAGTTTAAAAAGCTGGAGGGTCTGAAGAAGATTTGACAACAAGCTGACACCTGACAGAGGGAAGACGTTGGACCGCTCCGCATATAGACACGAGACTGAGAGAAACACGGCGGTGGTGGAAGCTAATAAAGGAAGAGCGGGCAGTCTCACGGGCTGGAAAATACACAAAGACAAGGAGAAAATCAAACTATGACACCTGTGGGAAGTGGTTATTTGAAACGAATGGGTTGGGCCCAAACAATGACAGAAAGGAGACAGCTGCAACATAACAGGAATTATTTTCTGCGTGGGTTTGTTCTGGTTTTGTCAAGTTTCTGGGCCTCAAGATGATTATTGTTGGGGTAAAAAGTTTAGTGGGTAAAGAAAGTTGGAGCTGAAATCTAGTTTCTTCCATGTGGACATTTTCTTACCAATGGGAATTAGTCATAAATACAGGAGACATCCGAAAAAATGAGGTGAACTTCTGTCACGTAAGAAAAAAGAAGACCTTTAAAACGACCAGCATGTTTTCCTAACATATTTTGACGCTTACATTAACAGACACTACTACCTTAAAAAGGTAGTTATGCTAACCCTAAAGCGCTACATCAGTTTATAGGTACACTAACTTAGCTTACTTGCCAAGTGCAAAGTTAGATAATAACTTAGCTAGAAAGGCTAAAGCTAACATAGCTTGAAAGTATATAGCTTCAAGGTTATAAGATATCTTTGATAAGACATGATATCTTAGATATGTTAGCATCAGCTAGCAATCCCAGCATTAGTTAATGTAACTAGTGTAGAAGATATCTTTAATAGGACTTAAGCTAAATTAGCATAACTATGAACTGGTGTACAGCTTTAGGGTTAGTGGAACCAATGTGTCTGCTAACCCTAAAGCTCTACCAGTTGATAGAGGTAACTTAGCTTGAAACGCTAAGGCTAGCGTAGCTTGAAAGTATATGGTTTGATGGATATAAGATATTCTAGTTAAGTTAGCAATATCAAGCAAATCCCAGCGTTAGCTAACTTGGCTAGGCTAGACGATAACCTTGATGGGACATAAGCTAAGTTAGCAAAACTATTAAGTGGTGTGGAGCTTCAGGATTAGCGGAAATAATGTTACGGTTCACTCGAGCAAGTATCAACCTAACGTTGGCAACAACCATTAGCAAAAGAAATTTTTACTTTGAAACATAAATTCCTTACTTTGTAGAAATTATACTTTTATTAAGCAATACATTCAAACTGTAATATTATATTGCAGGAATTAAGAAACAAAACTTAAAATAAAGGAGATGTTCCAACATGTGAGAAAAATTAATGTTTTGTAGTGAAGTCAGCCGTTAGCAGAAGGCTAATAAGCAGAAGCGTGTCTCTCCACCTGCTTTACATGTAAACAACAATAATCTCTGCAGCAGTCACTACACATCGGGCTCGTAATCCAACATCTGTGCGTCAGCAACAGGTCAAAGGTCACCAACGGCTTTCAGACCGACTTCCTGCAGATCAGATATTAGTCTGGATTAATCCGCCCGTTGTGGGAACGCAGCAGGAAGCCACCGCCAAAGCCCAGATAAAGTGATTTCAGTCGGCTCGTGAGGATTATTAGTTGTAATGTAACCACTCCGACTGCGAGAGCCTCAAATTAAGTTAAACCTGGATGAGATTCGGTGGTAAAATATTTTAGAAAAGGATGTAAATATATTTCCTGGCTCTCCTGAGGAAAGGGATCTGCAGTAGGAGTTGGAGTAGGAGTACAGGAGAAAGTCAGAAATAAATCCCACTGTTTGTTATGCAGAGCTGTGTTGGTGTAATCCAATGATGCACAGATTCATATTTGCATATTCTTCATGCTTTTGTCCACAAAATTGACTCAATTTTACATTTTCCTGACAGCCAGTCATGACTGCGTAAAAAAAAAACTGAAATTAAAACAGAAAGACTTCACGATACCAATAAATCCCGTTTCATTTTTTAAACTTTCACTTGGTTTCAAAGTGAAATAAAATAAGGATGACTTCAGTTTGAGCTTTAATACAACGGCGTCGTCTGACGCAAGGCTGGGAAAGAGAAATGTAAATCACAGCGTCTTCAGGCGCAAAGAGACAGGCGGCGACGGCTGACCTTTGATCTCCAGCTTCGCCACGCGGCTCGCGTTTCCCTCGGCGTTGGAGGCGTGGCAGGCGTAGAGCCCGGCTGCCTGCGCGGTCACCGCCGGCAGAGACAACGCTCCTCCCTGGTGAGAGCGACGAGACTGAGAAACTCAGGATGATTTCACATGAGAGGTGCTTTAAGAAAAAGTTACGCACATTAAAAATGCAACAGTCGCGTCAGAAACTCGCTGATATTCTGCTATTCTCTGCCAGCGGCTGCAGAGAAAAGTAATGCTTCATTCCTTTTTGTTTAATTTTAAACAAACTGACACAAAGCTGTCAAAAGAAATAATGTTCTTCACTCTTGCTTCACTAATTAAACTCTAATAAAATAAAGATACTTGGAGAGAAAGAGACCAATATTTTACTGCAGCAGCATGAAACATTTTTTAAAAAATTAATCCTTAATTTAAATAAATTTATCTCCTGGAGGGAAAAAAAAGTAGAAAATCATCTGTTTACCTGTCAATTCCTGTAAAATAAATGTAATTTTTGTCGTAAAAACCAGAAACCACAATGTCATTTATTAGGATTTTATCCAACCGGAGCGACATTTCTACAGCATGATGCTCTTTGCTGCTCTTCAAAATGAGAAAAATAAGAAAACATTTTCGGCTGCAATTTTTTTTTAATGTTCAGTAGCATAAAACCTTTTAATTAAGGACGACAAACTGAGTCGTTAGGCGTAGTAACAGTCTACACACTTCCTTATTTAGCTTATGACCAATACGAGATAATAAATTACATTGATTAACAATAAAACACATTTTTTAGAATAAAAATTAAAAAATTTTAATGCAAAGGACCAAAAACTCAGAAATAAATATAAAGCTAACTACATATAGGAGAAAAAAGACATGGATTAAAATAAGAAAAAAAAATCAACATTAAAGGCAATTATCACAACTAGAACTTATAAAGTAATCATAACTTGTTTTATATGTCAAAACTATCTGGTTTTACAAATATTTATTTACATTATATAGTGGGAAAAACGTAAAATTTCATAGTTTTATATTTATGGTAATATTTATTTATTATTTTTAAACATATGGTATTTGTTTAGTAATATTTGTTTTGTATTTCTGAACAAATATTTTAAACATTGTTTTAAAAATATTATCTTAAAAATAATATTTATTAAGAATATTATTTTTTGTTAAAAAGAAAAGAAAAGAGTTGTTTAAAAATATAAATTTTGTTTAAAAATACTTTAAGTAACTTATTTTATCCCTACAGAATAACTGGAAATAATAAAAAGTATACATTTTAAGCGGGGAGGAAAGTGTGGCTCAGTGTATGAAGGTGAATTTCAAAGAACAAGCCATTTTGAATTCAATCCAGAGGTCAGAGGTGAGAAGTGATGTTTAAACGGTTATTGTTCCAACAATAAATACCAAGACAGACGTCCAGAGAAAAGAAATTTTAAGAAATAACAGGTGCAGCCGCTTCTTTTCAATATTTAGTTTCACACAATAAACAGAAACATAAAGGGAAAAAGACAAATGCTGCCCCCGAACCGAAAACGGCGTCGACTGAGAGGGAAAACTCTGCAGAAAAGACGAATATTTTACATTCACTGCAGGAGGAAACCTGAACAATTCAGACCCTGAAAACATCCGACTAACAGAAGAAAACCGCAACAAGAATCATTAAAGTGCAGCAATAAAGTTTACCTTCAAAAGTGAGTAAAAAGTTCATTCAATATCTTGTGAGTGAAACTTTTTAAGGTTTATTCTTTTTCTTTAGGAGAAATCCAGTAAATTACTGTTTGTGTACCTGAAGGTTTGCACTGGGAACGGCGACGCCGTCTTTTAGCCAGGTGATGGTTGGCGTGGGGTTGCCAACAGCAACGCAGTCAAGAGACAGACGACTTCCCACCAGGGCCTGGACCACAGGGGGCGGGGCTTCTGTGAAAGTGGGCGGGGCTAAAAAGAAAAACAAACAAGCAGGAAATTACGTTTTTCAATAATCAAAGGATTATCAAAAAGACTCAGAACTTTATTTCTCAATCATTTCACCTAAAATTTATCAAATAAATATGTAGTTACATGTAATAAAAGGAAAATTTCTAAGATGTGTTGACATGCGTTCTTTGCAAATGTATTTTTTTCCCTTTCAGCATAGATTTAAATAGTGGATAAAATTTTTTCACAGAAAAGCAGCTAATTATTTTTATTTCTTTGTCATGTAATTAAGTTTTCCTGCTGCCACTTGGTTACAGATTTAAAAATATAAAACAAAATCAGTTACAAATGTCTGCAACTTTACATTTGTAACAAATATTTTTTTTTTCCAGATCAAACTACTTTTCAAATGATGAATTAATAACCTAAACTAAATTGGGATTTTGTGAAAAAGCAATTTAGCCAAGCCAAAAAACAAAAACAAAAACACAGCTCTATGCCTAAATGCCTGTTGTATCAAATATGATACAAACAGCTTTAGTAGCACCAACAGTTACATTTTTAAAATAAAAAAACATTTGATTATAATTTCTTGTATCAGATTTAAAGTCAGATAGAATTCAAGATATAATATGAATCATGAAATCAATATATCTCAGATATTTGATTTGAGCCTTTATGGGAAACTCTGCTGATTGCTGGACTTTCGCTCCGGCAGTTTGATTTGTTGAGGAAGAAGCAGGTGAAGAGCCAGAACCAGTCATCGCTCCCGACTCTCACGCTGTCCAGCTTCGCTTTGATCGTTTCTTCTGAGCAGCGATCGCAAAAGGTTTTCCAAAACAAACAGACTTCAAAGCACACACACGGAGAAAAAAAAGGGATAATAATCCATATTTCATATCCAGATTTAATATTTAAACCCATCAAAAAGCAAAACTTTACTTATTTTACCCCCGAAATCAGAGATCATTAAATATTACCTGATGCAAATAGAAACTTTACACATGTCCAACTTCTTTAAGCAGCATTTAAAAGTTGGAAGTTTGAAGAAGTTAGATTATTTATAGCATCTGTCATATAAATAAACAACATAAGTGCAGATATTATGGACAATCCACTTTTTAAAGAGGCAGAAACTACATAATGAGGCTCTAAATCATTCTTTTGATTTTTTCTGGGTTATAAATAAATAAAATTTACGCTTTGATGTGTTTAGAAAAAACAGAAAACTGTGAAATTGGATCAAAACAATGTACCTCTGAAGAGGAGCAGAGAAGCCGGATATCTCCTGGTAAAATGTTTTCCTTTAAATCATTACAGATCATTATAAATAACTAAAGAAGTGCGTTTAGGTGGGTATTCCATACAAGCAAACGCTGGAGGCTCTGGTGTAATCCCACCAAGTGGAACAGTAGTTTAGGAGTTTATTTAAATTCTGGATAAATGCATCTTTAATGTACTTTTCTGCCACAGCTGCACCCCGTTGAGCAGCTCTGTCAGGGTCAGGATTGTTTTGTTTCTGTCTGAAGTGGACAAGATTTCTGCAACATGATGCAAGTTTAAACCAGGACATGAGTTCAGCTTCCCGCTGTGCAGAAGTTTGTTTTTTTCTTCATGTAAAACATATTTTTATTTAATCTAAAAACTGCCAAAACTAAAAGAGTTCTTATGCAATTACTGTAGAAGTATATTAGAAATATTAGTTAGCCTAAATTAGCCATCAACAGAACTACTTAATTAGACTTTCAAATTAAGTTTCACATCCGATTACCAATAAAAGCTCACTTTGTGAGATAAGCCAAACTCGGCATAATAAAAGCTTCTGTGTTCTTTCAAAATAAAGTTCAGAAACACTTTCACATATAAAAATATTTAATAATTAGAGATAACTAATCTCGAACTGCAACATCTTCAACAAACAAAAGAATAAGTCCTGTGGCCTTTTATTGAAGCACTGAGCATTTATTGTGTAGTCATCATTAGCTAATATGTGGTTATAGCTATTTATTAGCTAAACTATAGCTAAAATGATATGTGTTTAGCTATATGTTTCAGCTAATATATAGCAATAAAAATAGCTGAACATAGCTAAAACTATACCTATAGATTTAGCTACTTTAAGCTATATTGTTAAAACTAGCTATGTTAGCTAAACATATTCTTAAAACTAGCGATAAAATCCCATTTAATTTCCCAGACAATAGCTGAACCCACATAAAAGAAAAAAAAAATAATCTTTTTTTGGTTGTAACTATCAAACAGTCTCCCCTTCAGCTCCACCTTTCCTGTCGAGATACATTGTTGATATTACCATTAAGTAATTAAGTAATTATTGGAAAAACTCATTGTAATTATTGTATTGAGGTTGGGGAGGGTTCTTATCAGCAGCTGCTGAAAGTTCAAGTAATTAGTAAAATAGCCAAGTTACTTTTACATGAATAAGTAATCCAAATAGTTACTTTTTCAAGTAACTAAGCCATCCTGATACTCACTGATGACAGGAAAGGTAAAAATCACAAAGTTATCCCAAAGTCAGCTCACTTTATGAGCATTAAAGCAGCTCACCAGTCACAGACAGCAGAGTCCAGTTGCTGCTCTGCACTTCCTCTTCCAGTTTGTCCAGCTGAAATATCCGGCAGCTGTAGAAACCCTGGTCGTCCAGCTGCAGGCGCTCCAGCCTCAGGGTGGCGCTGCTCAACAGAGACGCCCGCCCTGCAGGGACAGAGGCAGACTTCACTTTTCATCTTTCAACTTTTCATTTGAGGAGAAAACAAAAACAAACAACAACAAAAAAAGGTTCAGGTTTTTTTTATTTATTTTTCAGTAACAGAAACCGACACGCAACGAACGCTGCACACTCGAACTTGGAAACCGGATCTTGTGGTTGCCAGGTGACGGCTCCCTGGAGCCGGCGCCGCTTGTAACATCAACCCTTTATCTCTCGGAGGCTGCAGACTAACTGTCCATGTAGATTTCACACCTTAACGGATAGATCCGACAGAAAGGAAGGAAAAAAACTGCACCTCCTCGGGAAGAAAATAAAACGTGAAAGCATCAAACAGACTGTAGGATTGCTCTGTACCACCGGGAAGCCACTGTTGTGGTGGTAATTATTAACAGATTCAGTGGATTGGAGGGAGCCTGGTGGCCAGGGACTGGCCTGACTGTACAAAAAAGATCCAGGAAGTTTGAGCCAGGTATGCTTCCAGAGATAACGCAGCCTGTTTACTTTTCCCCGCCACCAAAGGGGATCAAATCCACAGAGAGGGGGACAGAAGTGGGAGCGAAAGTGGAGCAAAACACACATCAGCATACACTCGAGGGATTAGCTTGTTTCAAAACCCTGCCCTTTGACCCCCTCTGGTTTTTATCTCCGCTGCCTTCCTGTGATGTAGGTCAGTGTAGCGCTGAGCAGGGGAGGCAGAAATGCTGCTGGATTTCAGCAGGGAAAATGGACAGAACGAAAAAGATCAGAGCGAGACGAGATGCAGAAAAGAAAAGTAATCAAATTTGTAAAATCCTGTTAGAGCTAATATCCAGCAACTTTCATCAAATGGAGGAACAACGTCTGCAGAAACAATTCAGGGTGTAGGAGGAGGAATTAAACTAAAAATACCATTTGTTCTGCAACACTGCAGTTCAAAGTGCTTCACATCATAAAAACACCAAATGAAAACATACAGGCACAAACTGAACAAATGTAACATTTTGCTGAGTGACATCAAATATGCTGGTCAATGATTCATTTATTATGCGTCAAAAGAAATGCTAAACTGTTTAGCCTTGATTTAAAAGAACTCAGAGTTTCGGCTGTTTTTACATTTTCTGGACGTTTTTTCCAGATTTGTTTATTTTATAAATAAGCCACTCAAGTCCAAGAAATGACTAAAGAGTAAAAAAGTATTTGGTAGAAAGTCTATATGAGTAACTGATCTGTTATGTAAACTTTACATAAGAAGGAACAAAATATGAAGCCAAGTGGAAATTTAAGCATTTTAAGGGATGAAAATTACAATAATTCATATCAGTAACAAAGTTTTCTTTTTTCAAAATCAGTTTCTTTCAATAAAAACGTATAAAACTGTAACAGAAACTGCAGGTCAATTTCTGGTTAAAACGTGTCTGTTTTTCATTCAGCGTGTAGAAAATCCAGAAATTTTACTCAAGATTAGAAATAGACCACAATAAAATTACTCAAGTAAAAGACAAAAGTAATTTTTTTCAGAAAAGTTGTATTTACTCAATTACATAATTACCACAAAAACTCTGCATATCCAAAGGAGATCTGATACAAAATGAATAACAAAAGGTGTCAATATATTACAATTTTGTATTTTTTAGGGTTGGAAATCAGATTCATTATTTCAGACAAAAGGCTGGGTTGAATCAGGAATCAACAGAAACTTTCTCAAAGTTAAAATATCTTTGGTTTTTGAGAGGATACTCAGGAAAACTGGCCAACTTCCAACAGAAATACCCCAGATAACATTTAAATCCAGGACTTTCAGGCTGTCAGGGGAAATTCAAGCTTAATCTTTGCTATGCTAAGATTAGCGTATTGCAGCTGACAAAATGGAAAAGAATCAGTAGACTCTGTCCTTTGAACGGATTTAAGTAAAGTAAAAACGTTTGGTCAGAAACATTTTGGCACAACTGTTTGGAGACTGAGCACCTTAAGTTGATTCACCCTCCACTCTGTACCAAAGACCAACGTGGCGTTATTGGTCCAAACTGGGTCATCAATGAAACAATCATCCAAACTACCAATGCAAATCCACAACAGACGGACTGAAAGAGAAAAAATAAATAAATCAATCTAGATAAAATTGAAATACTGAATCAAAAATGTGAACTGAAGAAGTGATGGGAAGAAGAGTGGGTCAAAATACTCTGCTGGTATATCTGGGTGTAATTATCAGATCACAAATGTAGTAAAATGAGATGGCTTTAGTTTTGCATTACTGATGTAAAAACACAAAACAGGATTTCCATTTTCTTCTTTGCCCAAACTACAACTTCACTGTTGGAGACGCACAACTTTTATCCTTCAGGTCTTCTGTACATATGTTGCAGAGAGCGTCGTCTCTTCTGCAGCATCAGGACCAGGGGTCTGAAAAGGCTCAACACTGCAAAAACACAAAATCGACTCAAAGTGTCTCATTACACTTGAAATAGGAAAACTAACTTACAAGCAACTTTTTCAGGACATATAGAAACTTTTTTAAGTAAATAATTCACTTAGAACATGGTAAAAATGTGTTAAAAGTGAAATAAATACCAAAGGAACTTGAACTGGGTTGCTAGGTAACGGGCTGGGCTTGGCCGGGGTTGCTAGGTAACGGGCTGGGCTTGGCCGGGGTTGCTAGGTAACGACTCAGTCGATGGAAGCAGAATTTTGAGCTGACATTATTCATGTAAAACAAGCTTATTCATCTTGCTGGAAAATGATGTGCAAGTTAAGTTTGTTTTATTACCAAGGTGCTAAGATGCTCCAGAAACCAGACAAAAATTACTCGGTAAGATTTTGTGTTTTTGCAGTGCATACAGCCAGATAGAGAAGGCTGGTTCTATTCTGGGGACGACTGTGGAACGATATGGAGAAGGATTCTTCATAAAATCAAGAAAATAATGGACAATCCTGACCAGCGTCTTCATGAGACTATCTTCAGTCAGAGGCCTCTTCAGATTCGCTGTAATATTGACTGCTACCTGCCAACAGCCATCGCCATCTACAACAAAGCTTTGAAGACTTTGAGTCAACAACATTTAATTTCACTTTGGAATCAATAAAATATTTTTGAATATTTGTAATGTCTATTGCTAAATATCTTATATTACTCTAAAAATAAAAATAATAAAAAATGCAGAACTTCATGGCATGAATACCAGAAGTGATCTGCAACTAAAATCTCATAATACATAATTAGTTACTATTACGGTCACTGCAGTGATCAGGAAGTATTGGGTCAGTCTATCAGGATCTATCTTTAGTCACTTCATATCTACAGAATTGGACCAATCTGTCTCTGCAGCTCATTCAGTTTACAGGTCTTCTATGAGTCCACTAAATTATGGAGTTCCTCAAGGTTCTGCTCTGGTGTCCTTGTTGTTTCTGTTGCACCTGCTCTCACTTTGGCATAATTTAACATCTTAAAAAACATTTTTGTGTTGAAATTCAGTTACATAACTCTTACAGTAAGAGGTGACACAACCTCTTACTGACTTCATTTTAATACCCAACTTTGAAATACATAAAATTACTTTGGAATAACAGGTTAAATGCAAACATTGATGTTTCAAATGTGTTCTTTTGGGACAGATATACGCTAAATATATCATCAAAACTACCACAACAAGGCCTAACGTTCCTACAAATAAACTTTTTCAAAACAATATTCTCTTCTTCTCTTTATGCAAATCTGTTTGCGCACAGCACTCGCCATCAAAAGTAGCAGCTATGTGGGTTTTTCAAACGCCCAAACCAAACAATACCCTTTGTCAGCACAATTCAACCACGCAATGCATTCATTTATCAAACTGCTTTTGAGTGAATCCCCCTAAAGGCTCCTTCCCCCATACGCTTAGGTGACACAGAAACACAAAACCATGGAGTGAAACTCTCCAAAAGTAAAGAAAATATTCAGAAAGGAACCGCTTTTAAAGATTAGAGCATGTATTATAACATGAGAGAGTCGTTGGTGTTCTTTCTTAAAAGACAAAAGCTAGCAGAGGGAATATCATCATCATCATCATCATCTGTGTAACTTAGTGAGACATTTTTATCAAGGGGTGACTGGCAGAAAAAAGCAAATATTTCCCATTCTTCTCAGTTCCAGTTTGATGTCCTTCATAAAGCACTCAAACGAGTCGGAACAATGCTGACAAAAGGAATATCTGCAAAGACCACGGCTCGTGATTTTATAACATCATATTGAGAGCGAAAGACGCATCAGACATATTGATTTTCCATCTCCCAAAATGGATGTGTAACATTTCAGAAATGAAGTTTTCAAATTATAAAAAGAAGCCTTTAGGGAAATCATCCACAAAGTGTCTTGTTTGGTTTGACAAGAGCCTGTAGACTAAAATTATTTAAATTCAATACCATTTTGAGAGCCTCAGACATTTATGTCCCTGAAAATGTGATATCCATGGGCAGAGAGCCCACATCATCTGGAAGAGATGTCATCAGCTAAGTCGAGGAGATGCTGTCAGGATTCGGGTTACGCTCCGTCCTGCTTGTGGCTTTACGCAGGGTTAACGTGTCATGGCTGGAAATCTGAATTAAAGCGATTCATCTAAATCTAAATAAGAAGCCTAACTTGATGCTCCGCTGAACATCCCCAGCGCCAGGCTATCATGTTTGTCCACATGGGAAGGAAGCACTTTAACCGTGTTTAAAGTTGCTCCTGCTTTCAGAGGGACATCACATTTATACAGCTGTATTTGCTTTAATAAAGTCAGCAGAAGCACGGTGCCAACCTGGGACTACACTTCCTGTCCACAGAGCTCACGTTCAGGCTTTGATCACTTGCTCTGCAACAACAAACACTTAGACCTCTGCTAGCTGTCTTCACAACGCAGTGGGAATGCCAACAAATCCTTTATTAGGTTTACAAACATTCAAAAATAAAAAAAACTTAAAAAAAACTATGAGTATATGGAAATAAAATAAGCTTGAATTGACACTGAGGGACAAAAAAGTGAGAGAT